ATGGATCACTTTGTTCTCTGTTCTTTCTTTCTCCAGAAAGTCACTTCCTCGTGCCATTCGCCATTTGTTTCATAACAACTCTCCACGGAAGGACGCTTGCCTAGGTTTCAAAATGTGTCCAATGAGTTTCCATATCATTTTTTAGCATTGCTGCTGTGTGGAAGGTTGTCCTACCTTCACACTCATGATGTCTTTCAAATTCTATCTATGGCTCTGAAGAAAGAATGATGCTCAAGTGACTGACTTGAAAAGCCAGAACGCAAACAATAATGACAACAACTTAGAACGGCAAAAATGTAACTTGGAATCCATTCAATAAGAAGTCAAGATTCATGAAATAGATACCAGTTGATCACCATCCACTCAACATGTAGTGATGTCTTGCTGCCTGCTGGGCATTGTGGGAAGTGTGTGGGAGAACAGAATGTGGCCACTGCTCACACTTCATGTGACATGTTGATGGGAAGACGGATGATACATGCTCATGTTCCTGAGACAGACTTCCCCATGTGTCCTCTACAGTCTGACACACAAGTCACGGGGCTCTCAAAAACAGTTTATTATTTTGTTTCTGATGTTAACCAGGGTCTTTACAGTCGTTTAACTACACAGGGTACACAGATGAGCAGAGCTCCTCCTTCCTACCCAGGTCAGATTTAAATCGGAGAGGAAGTTGGCAGAAAGCTCTAGACTTTCTTGAGAGGGAGAGGAACAAGGTGTGTTGTTGCAGAACCAGAAAGGTTCCACCCACAAACCTAGTTCCTGGCCTCTGGCACGCCAGTTCCACCCTGCAAACATTCTTACTCTGATTTTGCCCCTCGGAGAGTGAGCATTTAGTTCTCAGCTCAGGTACGACGGTGCTGATCTGTGTCAGTGGAGTGTTAGTTTCTGGACATTTCCCTGCCGGGGTTCCTCTGAGCTAGCCACACCTCTACTAGCCACTGTTCGTGGCCCACCTCCCCTTGTCTGGGAAGAAAACGAAGAGCCTTGAGGAACTACTACTGCCTACCCAAAGGTAAGACCAAACAGCGTGTGTCTGGTTCCGCTATGAAGCCCACTCTTCCTAAGCTGGGCTTCTGGCCCTGTTTTACCTTGATACAGGCTCACAGCTTTGTATGTAAAATTGCTCCATCTTTCTTGACTGTGCAAGGCTGAAGTCCACAGGCGAGAAGCTTTCAGGCTTTAAAGTCAGTTGACAATACTCATCTATCCATCTGTGATCTTGGTAGGACTGGCATAGCTCTCTCCATTTTGTGTCTCGGTAAACGGAGGCTTTGTCAGTTGGGGTTTTGTGTATGTGTTTGTGTATGATCCATTGGCTAAGGGCAAGATGACATCTGCCTTTTTCTTCTCATTCTTCCGCTCTGACCCTAAGAAGGTCATTCTCTTCATCCAGAAAGCCGAGAGAGTTGAGGGATTTTGCTGAACTTTTAATGATAAACAAAAGGTGGTTATATCTTATTATTATGAAGATTCTTTTTGTTTGATTGTTTGTTTGTTTTCCAAGACAGGGCTCCCCTGTGTAGTCCTGGCTGCCCTGTAACTGAGAATCCAGGTTGGTCTTGAACTCACAGATCCACCTGCTTCTGCCTCCCAGTGTTGACACTGACGACTTGTGCCACCGTGTCTGGTCTTTTCCCCAAACTGAAGGAAGTGAGAGGGATTTTATAATAGATATGCATCATCACATCCAACTATTGTTAGACACCCGACGAAAGGATGAATGTGAAGTGAACGAACTTGTACATTGCACACTGAAAAGCTCTGTGCAAGTGTGAGCCAACGGCGGAGACCCACAGTCCAACACAAAGTGAAGCCCTTAAAACCCTGAAGAAGAGGACAGGAAGGAGTGTAGGACTAGCATGCTTCACAAGATAACGGCCCAAGCAATCAGTCAAGCAGGGCTCATAGGGGCTCACAGAGACGAAACAACAATCAGGGAGCCTGTATATATCTGTGCTAGGTTCTCTGCTTGTATGTTACAGTTATATAGCACGGTGCTCTCGTGAGACTCCTAACAGTAGGAGTGGGAGGCTGTCTCTGACCATTTTGTCTGCTTTTAGGACCTTTATCTTCCCACTAGGTTGCTTTGTCTAGCCTTGATATGAGTGGTTGTACCTAGTCTTATTGTAACTTGTTAAGCCAAATTTGGTTGATGTCTTTGGGAGGCCTGTTCTTTTCCAAAAAGAAATAGGGCAGTGGGATGGATCTCGGGGAGAAGGGATTTGGGGGTGCTGGGAGGAAGGGCAAATTGGGGTCAGTCTATAAGGGAAAGTAAAAAATAAAATAAAAATAAGACTTTTTTAAAATAAAAGTGAGGTGAGTGAGCGGAGCTTGCTGTGTGTGCTGGGCCTCTGCGGAAGAATGGTGAATTCTGGGACTGAATGGCACCCTGCTAATGTCAGGAACAGCACTAGGAAGGCACTAGTCGTGAAGTCCTGGGGAAACAGTAGCCTTCCGTCTTACTGAGATGTGGAAAGCACATCCCAATGATGATCAGGCACCCCAAATCCTCTCACAGCGACTCCTACAATTCCTAATTTTACAGTAGTTATCGTCCTATCTCTGTGTTTGGTGCTTTGAAGAAAGTCTTATCCAGCACACGATCATGAAGTTTTCTTTAAAACATGCTAGATTTAATTATCCTTTACCCTTTGTTGTCAATCTTAGTTAATGAAGTATGTGCCCCCCTGACCCGTGTGCGAGTTTATTTTAAACATGCTGATATTCGTTCCCGCAGGACCAGGGCAGTGAGTTCAGGAGGAGTCCTGAAAAAAATTAAACCAATCGCCTTCTACAAAATAGAGAAACTTTATTCCCAGAAAGATGACATGGTGTCCAGGGCATTCTGCCACCGGGCATCAGGAGAACCACTAAGTCAGAGGCAGGTCTCTGACGCCTTTGCTGACAGGAAATGCAGCGACTGATGCCGAACGTCTCAAAGCAGCACCTTGCTGCTTCAGTATGGGGGTCACGTTAGCCTATAAGATCCCTTTGATTAGAGATATCGGATCCTGTGCCGTCCGCACAGCATCCAGTAGAGATGTCATGATGTCGTGTAGAGCACGGGAGATGACAAGAGAAGTGGTATTTGGCCTGGTCCATTTGTCAAGCCCAAATTTGAGATTCTCCTTTAGATACAGGACAAGGAGACAGAGAAGGAGGAATGGTGTCCCTGCTTTCTTCAGCCAACATGGATTTTTCCAAGAGTCTCTGTAAAGGTGTCACCCAGCTTAAAACATACAAACTAGCTGAATTTGACTCAATAGAACTAAATGGCAAGTTCAAGGCCAAGGACTGGATTAATCTAGAGGTTGCACTCCAGCAGACACAGTGAATCCAATGTGCAGATACATTTTGGTTATACTTCAGTATTAAGCAAAATAACCAAATGGCAAGTATTTATGAAACACACAGCACATATTTTACTATTCAGAATGGTTAGGGGGTTTGGTGATGCTAACCCATGGATAGTATATCTGGGGGATCTGTGAGTGATTGATTGGTCCCTGCAGGAAGAGCATGTATTCCTCAGAGCTGCACAGCGTCCATCTTTCCTTTCCAAGTGTTTCAAGGCTGATGTCTTCCAACCTCATAAAGAGCAGAGTCCTTCTCGAAGGAACGCTGGTTATATATGGTGGGCCAGCCCACAGATCAGCATCAAGTGAGAAATGACATTAATTCTTTAGCCCTGACTTCTATTTATAGAGGAGGTAGAAGAGGCGATGACCCAGTGATACAAACTCTTGGACCGGGTACCACTGTGAACTATTTTCTTGAGCTGGATAGCAAGATTCAATGATCTGAAAGCTGAAGTAGTATGCAGGATGAGAGGACTCCGGCATTGTCTCTTGGTAACCACAAATACGCAGGAAAGAAAGCTGACAGTTGCGGATGGATGCTCTTTATACAAAAGACCAATTGCCTAGAAATAAGGAACAGGGATTGTGATGAACGATAGGTAATACAGAGGAAGCAACAAAGACTGCTATGTTTTATGGTTACTAATACAATATGGTTATTTACACAATAATTACCTATTGATTACTTCGGGTCCATATAATTCTAACGATGAGTATTTAGGGTAGAAGATTTTGACATCTCTCTAAAGGGACTTTTACCCATGGTTGAAAAATGTGTGCAGAAAAAAAAAATAAAGCAAACAAACACAAAATCAACGACCTGGGGAAATGAACAATAAACAGCACAAAAGAAAAATGCAAAGGCAGCCGGGATTTCACAGAATCAGGAAAGAGTCACGGTACATGAGTGGCCTGCCACCTGAGATGCTTGTGAGGACAAAAACAGCCTTTGACATGAGCTTTGGACAGCTACAGATAAGAGAGTTTCCAGCAGGAGCGGACGGTAAACAACGTTACCACTCAAGGCTGCCCGAAGTGCCCCTGAAGGAGAGAAGGAGCACACTGTGGCTGTGCACAGTGCTGGGGAATTGAAATAGAGCCTGGCTGAAAACCTGCGTCTGCCCCAGGTTGCCAGCGAGGAGCACTTAAATCATGTGCAGTGTAGTAGGTTTAATAAGCATTGTCACCCCAGGCAGGCACTGAGCCAGGCTCACCGCTATTGAAACCCATAGTTTGGCTGTGACAGAACACCTGTTCAAGTGTACCTTAAATCTGCCGTAAGGTTCCAGGAAAATTAGCATGCAAAAACCATTCAGGGTGCAGTATTTCTAAATATAGTAACCAAGGCTAAGTAAGGGAGACAGGGTGGTAAATATACCCTTCTTAGAAGTAAAGATGAGACTATCTTAAATGCATTGAGAAGCTCTTACGGGTGGTTGTTAAGGGGTGATGAGGTTTTCCTCTGCCCTGTAACACTCTTAGGGATTATTTGGAAGTCAGAAAAGTGGTGTCCCATGAGTTCCTCTGAACGTTTCATGATGTGTGATTTGAGGAGTCTTTCTCTTCCTCTCTGGAGGGTGATAACACTGTGGGAAACAGGGCAGGTTTGTGGATGACCCCACTTCATAGTCTTCCTCAATGAAAGTCGCTGAGAAGTACGAGTGTAGCTGTGTGGTCCACAGCATCCCTAGTGGGTCGGATGAGGTTATCATCCTGCAGATGGCTGCCCTGGTCACGGAGCCAGCAGGCAATTAGGCCAGGGCTTCCTCGTTTTCCCATGCGCGGTGGCGTGTGCAGACGCTGAAGATGCGTCTTTAAGGGAGGTCACCGGGTGCTGTGATGCAGAGTGAAAGGAAGTATTTGAATAAAATCTATTCACATAATGCTCTTTTGAGCATCTGCTAGGTTTTAAAAAATGCTATAATTGCATTTGTTAAAGGCCATTTATTGAATATTCTAGGTTTTGGGAACAAGATTTCCTCTGTTCTCTAACTCTGTAGGTAGTTGCTCTGCTTTCAAGGAGGTGAGGCAGATGGAAGATGATACACGTCAACAGGTAAGAGACATGTGTGACATAAACGTATAGGGCAGGCTGTGGGGGAGGACAGATGGAAGGGAGGGGGTGGAGGTACACACGGACAAATGCTTTGCCCCGTAGGTGAACAGATTGTGTGGATTCTTGTGTCTGGTTAGCTGAATGGGAAATAACAATGTGGTGGGAACTCAAGGGTGGTCCTATGACTCTTCTTGAGTAACTGGTGTAGAAAGGAACGGCTTCATGGCTTTGTCTGAAATGGAGATGGGCGTGAATGGAACAGACTTCAGGATGAATATTAAGGGCTTTCTTCCTATTGGATAAATTTTGAGAAACTGAATACTCAATAATGTGATAGTCAATGAAGGTGTTTCTATCCCTTCCTATATATTTAATTGAAGCGTTACTAAATAGCTTAGTATAGACAGACATTAGAGGTTTACGGCTGCCTTCTGGGATGCTGCAGTGTCTTTGAGTTGTGAAGCTTGAGGGGGTAGAGCTAGTGTGTACCAAATCAGAAAAGGGTTATCGGGAGGGTCCCTCGCTAGCACAGAAGAGGATTTGATCACTGAAATCACTTGTGATCTTCCTCTCATTGTAACAGAGAGTGTTTCCACTCGCAGCTGGTGTAGACGACACATCCTCTTCTCATCTTACGTTCTAGCACATGCCACACTGAGCACCCCTCTGTCTACTATTCACTGCCCACTCTGGTTCTGTGAGAACAAAAGCGGAGCTGCAGGAACACGACTCAGGGTGGTGGTGGTGCATCTACACTGTGTGTTGGGTCTGGAGCCAAGGTGTGTAGAAACAGGTAGGATGCTCCTCAGAGGTGGAGTCAGGCATGCGTGAGAATGGGATGGAGCAGTCTGCAGTGTTGAAGCTCAAGAGAAAGCAGAGAGGCTTGGAAATGGGGGCTATAGATATTCATCTGACGGAGAGCGTGTGAACTAGGGAAATTGGTACTAGCAGAAAGGAAGTGTGGGTTTGAGCGGGGGTGGTTCGTCTTCTTAAGGTGAGAGAAAGATGCTAGAAATATACTTGCAAAGGGATTACCATGTGATCAGTACACATAGATAACGGCATCGTATTTAATATTTTATAGACCGTGTGGCGCAGCTGAGATGAGATTACCATCACATAATTCTTTGAGGCGCAGAAAATCAGGCTCAGGGGCTTAAAGTCATCTGCTCCAAAGCAATGGCAGATGGGATTTAAGCCCGAGTTCTGAAAACTTGAGCTTTAGGTTCTCACAGTCAAGAGTCTAGCCATGCGAGTTTGGAAATCACTTCGACTATAGAGCTCGCCGATAACGTCCCTGAACTGTTGTGCTGGACTCTTTTCTAACTCTCAGAGAACTCAACACTGCTCAGCAATTTCTCCTGCAGGAAGGTACTTTGGCATTAAGTGCGGGATATTTGGAGACCTAGAAAGAAGATACAATTTATCCCGAGTAGCCCTGGAAGTTCCTCCAAGTGGACCAAGCGCAGCTTCAAGTCGACGACCTGCGTGTTAGAGGGCAGAAATGGCGTTTTCTAAACTGATGATCATGGCCTGGCTGCCCTGTTCGTCGTCTTCTAAGAGCAACCGACATCTTTGGTACATTCACAAGCTGTCTACTCAAAGGCCACACACACTAGTCTCTTTCCACACAGATCTAATCTTGTCTTCCTCGGTCTTCAAGTCTAATTGACTTACAGTTGGGATGTGTCTGTTCTTTATAAAAGCTACATTTAATCGTATACAATTTTGACACAGCCCAGGCAAGAGCTTTAGACACCATTTGCCATTCTTCCAATGGGGTGGCTTTCTTCTCTCATTGATAGCTCCAAAGAACAACTTTCCAGAAGAAGCTATCTTTCTGGCCTTCAACCTTAGGTATCTTTCTACTGGTGTGCCTTGGAGAAGAGCTCCTATATCCATAAGTAGCCCAAGCTGGAATGACTTTCTGTGGAACATTTGGTACTTTCTTGATACACGTTTTCCAGACATCTACTGCTTTAATTCATCCGCCATGATATCCATCTTGAGAGCCAATTCTTTGGCAGTATGCCACTTCTCAATGGCAGAGACTCTCTGTATGTGTCTTCCTATTTGTCCCTCTCTCTCTCTAGCACAAGAGACCTGTGCTTCTCCAAGAGAACGTTCTCCAAAAATGTGTTTAAATTAATTAAATAATCGAGGCGCTCTCTTGTGTTATTTAGAGCAGCATGAGGGCATGTAGAATATGTCAGACAGGAAAAGAGAGTGAAGTACCTAAATTCAAGGCAGTCTTATATGCAGAATTAATTAATTAGGCAAATCAAGTCTAAAGCTTCAGAAACCAACTAGTGTAATTCATTTTCCTCTTGAGCTAGGGAAGCATAAATTTGAATAATTTGTGTTTATACTTTGAAAATCTGACATCATCATTACACATGCTTTTAACTCAGAATTGTATTGTTGCAATTACTAAAATTTTCTGATCTCATCCATATTTATTTGTGAGTCCACTTAGTAGATGAACTTTTATGGTAAGACAAAATAAAACTATTAATGACAGAAATGTCTATACAAGCTTTTCAATCTCACCACAGAAAAAGGAAGTTCAGTCTATTACTATTAATGTTTGTTAGTCTCTTTTCTGTTTTGAGACAGGGTTTCATTATGTAGCCTTGGCTAGCCTGAGATCTCTGTAGACCAGGCCGACCTTGAACTCACAGAGATATTCAATATTTGGCCAAGGACTGGATATTAAAATGTTGGGCAAACATTTTAAAATGATGGGCAAACAAATGTTGGGCAAACATTTTAAAATGATGATTTAAGAATGGAAAGCTGAAACAATCCCTCTGTAGATCTTCATAAAGCAGGGCTTTTTTGAAATTTATGGAAGTTTAAGTCAATGATCTTGGAAACATAGCTTAGCATGAAGGCTGACTTTGCAGAGGACCCAAGTTGGGTTCCCAACACATTTGCTGGGCAGTCTACAACCACTGGTAACTTCAGCTCCAGGGTAGCCAATGCCCTCAACTGGCCTTAGTGGGTGCCCAGATACATACATGAACATAACTAAAAGCAAATATTTTAAAAATATTTGGTAGAGTTTTGGGGAGGAAAGGGAAGAGAGAAACAAAAATAAATTATAATCTCAAAAGAAATTTTAAGATTTTAATTGTTAAGTCATTTCAAGAAATGTAATTTGGTCACACATAAATGAACCCTAAAATCAGTCTAGCTTGATCTATAATTTCTATATTCAGGAATTAATATTATAATAAATTAAGGTGTATGAGAAGTTTTAACTATACGAATTTTTAACACATAGTCATATAATCAAACCAAGGGGGAATGGTGTTAGTGATTAATAATAGAGTATAAGTTAAATAACCATGTAAAATGGCACCCTGGACAGTCACTAACAGTGTCATAAGAATGTATTTATTTGCTTCCATCTTTATTGAAGTATAACTGACAATGAAAATAGCATATAGTGATGGTCATGGCATACAACGTGATGTTTTAACATATGTAAACATTATGGCATTGTTATAATAATTGAGCTAAAAGGCCAATGGCACATCTATCACATCACTTGTGTGTGTGTGTGTGTGTGTGTGTGTGTGTGTGTGTGTGTGTGCTGAGAACATGTAATATGTACCCTCGCATTGACTTTCAAGCATAAAGAACTTACTATTTATTCATGAGGTGGTGCACTAACTTCTAGGGCTATGGAGAAATGAAAGAGGTGGAGAGACCTTTGGTCAACTTTAAATTCTGCCACTTACTGTTCGAGTGACCCTGGGAAACTGCTGAATCTAAGATTTCGTTCTCTAATCTGTACGTGCAGATAATCATAGGGCCTGAGCCGCGGAGCTGTGATGAGCTGAGTCACAGTGCTGCCATGGTGAGTATCGATTTCCTCCTACGAGGGTAAAAGTGGAGGATGAAGCAAGATTTGCAGCGGGTCTCTACTTTTGAAGCAGGCAAAGAAATTGACATTGTCAAGAGGTAACTGTAGAAAAATAGGAGATTTACATAAAAATCACTTACTTTTGTTTTTCTGCATGGTGAGTTCGAAGGCAGGTTTCTTCTGCTTTCGTATCACGCAGCATGGTGGGAAATGAGGGTCCGCGTGATGTTCAGCTCAGTCTCTATGGAAGAGCATCTGCTGAGTAGTAGCTCTGACTCCGTTCACTCGTTCTCACTCCTGAATCCCACCATCTTCTTAATTCGCCTACCACCGCAGTGGCTGGCCGTGGCAGACACTCACATCCAAGTCCTCTTTACTCAGCCTGTCTCTGCTCTCCCAAAGATGGGACCCACCAGAAGCACACCCCTGGCATTGGGGCTGGGAGGGAAACACGCGGTGGCTTAGAGGATGACTCCTGACCCAGAGGAGTTTTTGCTTCTTCCAGAGAGAAGTGCCTGAGAGCCCAGGCCGTGGGTAGAGAGCGCTTCCTTAGGAGGCTCAGAGCGCTTGTCTGATGCTCCTGCTTGGGAGTCTTCTTTTTAACACTTGTATCAGAGATTAAGACCTCTTCGATACTTTAATGCATTAATCTCTAACATTTTTCTCTGGTTATTTTATGTATTTCGGAGTTTTAAAATCAAACCACAGTGTGTAAGTAGCCTTTGATCATAGTTTTTTCACACAGTATTATCTTGCAAAACTTTTCCCATGTTTAATTATCTTCAGAGCTATGGTTTCTGAAATCCCCTGGTGGTAATGCCCCCGCCAATGGGTTAAGTCAGATTAGGTCGAATTAGTAAATCCACTTTTAATCTGAGCAGAGCAAAGCAGCTGCTGGGTGACACTTGGGAAGGCAGGGGAGGAATCGCACGGCAAACATGGCTATCAGGTCTTATATAGCCTGTAAGTGTGATCCTGAGCAGCCCCGGGGAGGGGATGACTTTTGGTGGGCTTTCTCAGGGGCAGGGCTTGGAATGGGAGGAGTGAGGCCAGAGCATGGAATGGAGCACCCAGCTGGAATACCCCAACATCCTAACCTTTTTGGGTATACACGTGAACGGCGGTAGGGCTTCCACCTAAGCAGTTTCTACTACAACTTTAAATACACAGCATAATGTAATAGTGCCTTTATTTTATTTTTATTTTTTTCTGGTTTTTCAAGATGGGGCTTCTCTGTGTAATGTTGACTCTCCTGGAACTTTGTAGACTCACAGAGATCCACCTTTCTCTGCCTCGTACTGACATACCTTTAATTTCTAAACCACTTCAATTGAGGGTTGACACTTAGCTCATTCTCCTACCAGGCTCTACACTGCATGCAATCAAATCTGGTTTTGATTCATTATTCAGCTTAGTAGCATGGGCAAGGAAAAATTATCATAATCTTGTGCGATGGGGTCTGTGTAAAGGAATCCCAGAAGTCAGGGCTAGGCTACTACAGAGACCGCAGCATCAGCAATGGCCGCCATGATGGACCTGGTGGATCGGAAGGAAATTTCTTCCGGAAAAGGATCTACCTTAGATTTCTCTGAAGTGCTGTTTGCACTGGTTTCATAATGAACTAGACAGGAAGTTCCCATCATGCAGTGTTCTTGCTTCCGAAAAGCACAGCACAGGTAATCACTGCCTTGCTACATTTTCTGTTCCTGCTACACATAGATACAAGTTTATCTGAATAACAGCAGCAGCAGCAACAACAACAACAACAACAACAAAGCACAGACCAGGAAGTTTGGATCTGTAGTGGGATAGGGTGGTAAAACACCCTTAGCTTTGTTCTTTTATTTGGTCTACTTTGTAAGTGACTTTAAACTTTCTCCCTAGCCTTAATTTGGGAATTCCACCCTGGCCTGGAAAGAGCCCTAGGCTAGCTGTTGGCGGGAACTTGAGTGAAAGCAGTTGATGAATAACTTCTTCACGTAAACAATAAAAAAAAAAAAAAAAAGGATGCTCAGAAGAGAGAAACAACTTTTTTTCTGACCTCAGATTTCCAGGCTGGTGCTAACTTAAAGCCTTCTACAGCATCACTAAGCTCCATTTCTTGGCCTGTACTTGTTGACATCTTTCTCCGCTAGATCCAGTTGACTATCACACCCCTTCTAGCCCTGCCACCTGAAAAACTGCATATGGAATTCCTATGATATTTTAATATTCGTCTAGTTTTCTTTAGATCCATTAGCTCACACCAGCATTGCACTGCTCCCTAAGGCACATTTTGGAACCACGTCTCATTTGAGAAAACTGAAGTCAAAGGGTTTTAATTGTTATATGACCTCCGGCAGCTGGTGAGCTGTGGAATCTGGATTCAAGCCCAGGCCTGTCGGGTCTATCTGACTCTGACACTCTCGCTACTCTGCCGTGCCATCTCCTGAAAACGTATTGATTGCCCTAAATGAATCAATTTATGTCTTCAGTGCTTCTTGTCCATTATCTTGTGAAAGGGTTGGCTTAATGAATTCTCCTAATATTTGTGTCTCTGAATTGTAGGTGAGTGATCTTGACACATAACCCACAAAGTTGGGCTTAAACCAAAAGTACAGACATCTTTCAGGCTCTAGTGGTGAAAAAAACTCAGCACTATGGCTTTGCCACTACACCCTACTGCTCGTGGAAGTGTAGCCAGAGATTAAATACCAAAAAAAAAAAAAAAAAACCAAAACAACTATTGATGACGGAAAATTTGACCGCTTACAAACACCAACAATGCCACCATATTATAGTGAAGATGTGTTTTAGGGGAGATACAATCTGATCTTTTTCATTTTTTTTGAGAATGTCATGTATGAGTGCTATATTTGCATCATTTTCCCTCAAAGCTTTCCTCCCTCTAGCTCCTTCCATGTCTCTCTCATTCCCTATTAAATCCATGTACTCTTATTTTTAATTATGTTGCCCATATAGTATATATAATGTAATTATATATAATTCATAAATACAGCCTGTAGAGTCCCTTTGCTTACATGCGCCCGTGTTTGATTACAGGTGTATATGTTTACTTACATGTGTTTGTGTTTACTTGCATGTGTCTATGTTTGGGACTCTCCACTTAGGATTAGATAATTTATCACAGAGTTGATTTCTATAGAAGACTTACTCTTCCTCTCTCAGCAGCCACTGCTTGCTTGTAGCTTTTCCTCTAGTGGTGGAGCCTTGGGAAATGTCCCCTATCTACATTGGCATGTCAATTGTAATTGTTCAGATTCGATTTAGGAAAACATATTGTCGAGATTTCATGGGAGCATGGTCCCTGTCATAAATAGAAGACACTATTGTGAAGGAATACACTGACCTTCTGGCTTGTACAATCTTCCTGCCCTGTTGGTTCTCTAAGTCTTAGAGGTTGTATTGTGGGTGTTCGCTCCAATATGGAAGGAAGAATGGGAGAATTTTGTTCTGCTCGGTTTGAGCCTGACTGTTTAAGCCCAAGGTCTAGGTCAGGTCAGGAAACACTGCCTTGGTCAACATTCTTGAGCTGCTCTTTCTCCCAAGCCTAAAGCATAGTTACCTCCACCTCTTCCCTCTCTTCCATATTCTTCACTGATAAGACCTTTGCTTTGAACACTCATGTTCCTGCCAAGCCAAGGTGTCCAGTCTATCTGTAAACTAAGTTTTTCTCAGAGTTTGTTTTTTTGGAACTGTTGAACTTGTATAAGACATATCATTTCCCAATATGCTCATATCCTTTACATAACACGTTTGGAACTTCTTGGCCTGCAAACTAATTTCATAACTCCTTGTGCAAAAACCCTTTCCCAGCACACATTGTCTTTCCTCGTCTCTTCAGCGTTCCTTGATTTTATTTCCTGAAGGAACTGTGTACATATTAAAGAGCAGCAAAAGAAGTCACCAGTCTGAGTTTCCAAGTATCATGCATGCTCTCTCTCTCTCTGGCATTCATTTTTGTCTTATTCTGACTTTTGATGCTTTTGAGATTTTCTGAAGATCAGACTTTGATGTATTTCCTATGTGGAACAGATTTTTCCATAATGGAATGTTCTGAGGGAAGAAAAAAAGTCTGTGTTGAGAATGTGGGTGCTCAAAGAACAGAGTTTTACATCCTCGATATTTTTGTGAGCATAAGACTTTTCCTCATTAGACATTCTTTATGGAACTCACTGTGTAGGAATTAGAAAATACAATAAAAGAGAAAAAGTCTATCCTCCCACAACTCAAAGAAGACTAGCATCAACATTGTGGTGAATGTAACGGTTGTCATTAGCTACCTTTCCGGGGTGACTTCTGCTGGGCTCCTTGCCATGGCAGGTCCAAATGTTCCAGGGTAGGAGCATGAGGATTAGAATTATTAGGCAAAAGGAACACAGATGTAGGAGAAATAAGAGACAGAAACATAGGATAGTATCAGAAGGGAGTTCCAGTGAATACTGAAATCACCCACGATTAATTTCAATTTACTTAAAATACCTTTACCCCAAAAGATAGGAGTAAGAAAAAAAAACTACATTAACATGATAAAAGGAATGAAGAGACCAGTGGAAGGAATTCGGGGTGCCTTCTTAGTTCAATGTTCTGTTGCTAGAACTAGACAAGTAATGTTCTCAACCTAGACCAAAACATTCTGTAGGCAAACCACTCCCTGGCTGGAATTTATAATTATCTTCCTAAGGGAGTAGGAACCTTGTTGGATCCTTAGACTTTTGTTTATGGTACAAACAAATCTTCTTCTTAATACCTGAAACACCAGGTCTGGATATCAGCCACACCTGTTGACAAAAACCTTGCGAGAGCAGAAGTTTCAAACTCTCTGAAGGTTAGTCGAGATAGGAAGGACCCCTGCCAATGGGCCCTGTCGAATAGTCAGCTCTTTCCTCTATATATTTGTACTTTATTATAAACCTAATGCTATACTATATGGTGTGTCCTATTTTGTTGCTTAATTAAAGATAAAAGTGTAGTGGGGCCCCTTTCTATAATTT